AGCGCGGTTTTGAATTTCTTTCGTCGGCTCGAAACTTCCTTGAAACGCCGCAGTTTTGGTCCCACGGGCCTTGAGACCGTTCTCTGTTGCTCGTCGTGCGATAACAACGAAGAACAATTCGATTTGGGAACGAGTGAACTTCGCTCGAACGATCACCCGGTGAATCGTCCGTTCTGATAACGCCTGATTTTGTGGCGGACATTCCCAAGGTAAATTCTCGTCAGCTGCGAAGCTGAAGCACGCGGGGACGCGAGGTCTCACGAAGAAAATTGTTTTATAAACTCCCGGCGATTTATTTGCGACTCATGAACGTCCGGACGCGTCGTTGTTTACGTGACGAATCGCCCGGCTATTTGCAACCACGGTATTTGAAAGTGAGCTTCGCCAGTCGCGCTTTTCGCGTCCTCCTCCCGTCATCTGCTTACCTGCAGTTTTCCTCGGTGAAGAAAGCTGGGATGAGAAATGAAAGTCGAACGAAGGTGTCTAATCGAAGACAGAGGAAGACGCGCGCGATTCCCATTATCGCGTTTTTCCACCAGACTTTCTGCCGCAATGAACCAACCTGGAGAGAAGAGGGTGAGAATTCACCCTCGAGACTCACCCTCCTTCGCCACTCGACTATCTTTTCTCGTTCTCTTACGCACTTGTTCTGAATTCCTCCATCTCGCATGGTATTTTCCGACACAGAAGGAGGAAGAGAGAAGAGCAAGTGTTACACTGAAAGTACTGCTAGTACCAGAGATATTCGTCGAAATAAATATGAGGATTTTCGGATTCTGTTTTCGCGCGTCGTTGTTCGCAGTTTCGAATTTTCTCTCTCGGCTCGAAACTCTCCGCGAAGCGTGGTGATTCCAAACCTTTGCCCTTAAAGTCGCTCGTTATTAATTAATTAATTAATTATTTCTGTTTATCAATTAACTTATGAGAACACGAAGCACTTTGGTACACGTGTAGCAGTACAGGAGCAGGTTACGCAAATGAGACGAGAAATCGATCTCGCAACTCGCAAATTCTATAAACTGAATTGAAAATAATAAGTTTGAATCTGAATGAGAAGGAAAGGCACGCATTAAAAGGCGTGTAATTAATTAATGAATTATCGCGAATAATTAGCGCTGAAGAGAAATCATGACGCGAGCTTTGACAGCTTCTGTTTCCTTCAGTTATCTTTTTCTGAAGAAAAATCTCGCTTCTTTCGCGCACGAATCAGCTGATCAATTCTCTTCGTCGCGCAATACGAATTCGCGTGCAAAATCCTCTGACTCTCGCCATAGCGCGAATATGAAAAGCCTGATGCTTACACGTGGCTGAACATTGTTATCGTTTTGATATTTGAGGCTTTTACGGTGTCCATGAATATCAGATTTACTTTCATTTTAGCCGTGTGATTTCTTCTTTGTCGGATTTCGACGTTTCGCGAACATTTCAGTCCGTTTCATTAGGGAGAAACGACCTGATGATGAAGTATACTCGATATCTAGACATCAGGTCGTTTCTCCCTAATGAAAGGGACAGAAATGTTCGCGAAATGTCAGAATCAAACAAAGAAGAATCCACGCGGCTCAAACATGGAAAGCAAATCTAATAATTATTATCGTTATCGTAATCGGCAAGGATACCTTGTATTTTGCCAGCGAGAAGCGAAAATCTCGCGTGCGCAATTAAAATCCCCATTTTTGCGCGAATTCGTTGCATCGATTGACGACTCGCAGCCTCCGCGCCGTTTCGCTCCGAAATCGCCATGTAATATTGAGAAATCGCACCGAGAGAAATTATTTGATAGGAAATTAACAAACAGATATTTCTGATCAAAATACCGATGAATTTTTGTATCCGATCAGAAAACATCCGATGAGAAATATCGGTTCATAATTTTTTTATTGATTAGGATGTCATTATGATCCGATTAAATTTAATCAGATATCCTGATTGGATACAAAAATTCATCGGTATTTTGATCAGAAATATCCGTTTGTTGGTGCTTTATCAGATGATTTCTCTATGCTCTGATTTGGTATCAGCGATATTTCGCATCGCGCGAGCTCTCGTCCAGTTCATTCATGAACTCATTTATGAATTTATTCGCTCTTTCGTTCACACGTCTCACCCGTTTTATTCCACGTGACGCACACGCGTCTGCCGGTCGAAATTTCCACTTGTGTATCTTCCCATTTACCGTACAATTTTTTCTAGTTATTGTCACGATCCCGGCGCGTGTCTCACTCGGAATTTCGAAATACTACGACGACGACGAGTCGTCACTTGAGCTTTATCGTTTCAATGACAATTCGCGAAGTTAGCGAAGTTTCAAAGGAGCGCGGAAGCGATCACCGATGAAATGTTATCGCGGCGAACGAATTGTCTCGAATATCTGACACCATCTGGGCAACTTTTTCGACTGCTCGCGTGAGAAAATATGTCGCGATCGAACGATTGTTTGAGGGTCGTTGAAGAAAATCTCCTCGTTACATCACAGAGGACAGGTTGGTGTTTGTATCTCGTTTAAGATACGTCGATTGCGAAGAAAACTAATGACCAAAAAAAACTTGCGCCTCAGACGTCAGGCGCGTGTCATTCAAAATGGCACTGCTAATGAGACAAAGATAATCGTGACGATAAAAAGAAACGAGAAGAAAGAAAGTGACGGAAACTGAGAATCTCGTCGACGCTCTTCGTCGCAGTTTTGTGAATTTTGCGTTAGACGCGAGCTTGTTAAGCGCTCGATAAACGGCTCGTTACAATCGACATTCTTCAGACCAAAGTGTAAACAAATGGAACATCGTCGGATAGATCTCGTAGTTCATTTATCATGGTTGTTCATTCCATAACGCGTTCGTCATTCGCGCGAATTATTGTCGCACGATGTCCGGGCGAAATTGTTATTCGCAGACACGCGCTTTCACACAAGCAGAAATGCGATTCGTGCTCGACAGACAGACAGACAGGGAGACAGATATATTTGTCGGGTGATCTTGTTTGCGTAATTCTACGACATAGAATTTACTCCGCTCTTCTTGTCACTTTGAAGACGCTGAATGATTACCCGCGTACAAAGAGGATTAGACCGCCGAGACGTTTGCCGTTTAAACAAACGCGAATTCAAATGTTTGCGTAGATGATTGCGAATTGTCCATCTCTCGTGGGACTCTTGAATGATTTTCATGTATTTATCGGGATTCGTCGAAGCGACTGTTCGGTTATCACATCGTTTGTCTCGA